ACTTTTCAATAATTGAGCTTGCAATTGTGGCAGGTCTGTAAGACCTCATTTGTTAGAACAGTATCTTCTCCCAACAGTATCTTCTCCCAACAGTATCTTCTGGCATGGGTTTATGGGGGAGGTACAAATCCACCATCAATAGTGAGACTAAAATGCTGGAGCAAAAGGGCTTAGGACAGGCAAGCTTCAAAAGTATTGTATATCTAATAAGTGTTAACTAACCAGTGGCCTTCTTGCTCTCTTGAAGTATGTAGCTTGGGCATGTGGATGGATTTTATCAAAATGCCTGGCATAAATCATGAAAATACTCATCATTTTACAAGAGTTAAGTCTTAACTGATTGCATATGATCTAATTCTAGTTAAAGCAAATGATCTCTCCTTGGGTAGCTGGATTTAAAGCAGAGAATAGAGCCAACTGTCTCACTGTATTCCAGAACGTGAGACATGCCTGTATCATAGGTGTAGAAGTGACTGCCAGCTTTGTACAAGTGAAGATGGAATTGCCACTCTAAGGCTGGAGTAGTGCAAGATGGGGCAGCTTGTAGTTTACTTCTAGGTAGGGTGACCAGATGTCCCGTTTTTAAAGGGACAGTCCTGTTTTTTGGACCTTTTTTTATATAGGGGCCTATTACCCACCCACCCCCTGTCCCGTTTTTTCACAGTTGCTATCTGGTAACCCTACTTCTAGGCCTAGCTGGTCTAGGATTCACCTTGACCAGCTACATCAAGGTGAAACTACAACTTACTTTGTCTACTGTGTGGGGGGGTTTTTGTGTTGGTCATCTTTGTAAAAATACTTTTTGCCGAGTGTAGATATGGCCTGAATCAAATACTCATAACATACATCTCATTGGTAGTATTCTGGTCTACAAGATTGGCTCAGCAGAAACAGTATAATCAGCATTTTTAAAATTGTATGCCTACATCTAAGAAGAAATGGAATGGAACATAACCTTCCACATGGAAGATCCAGTTATAGTCGCTGTAATATTAACAGTGCTGTGTATGAAAGTGTGCACCTGGCTGTAGCTGGGCTTCCTCTGTACAGCTGGAGAATTTTTTTTTTGCTTTCACATAAAGAACTTTATTACACATTTCAACTTTAAAAGGAAACTTTCTAACCCAGATCCGTTTGTATCTAGGTGAAAACATTCAGATTTACCAGCCTTCTGGCCATATTCCCACACGCTCTGAGTCCAGTCTGTCTGGTATTAAATTCTGTGCCCTTTTCTTTGCAAATTCATATGCTCCTAAGCAAAATTACAGGATCAGAAAAACAGACTTCTGTTATGTGGGTGGAGAAGATGTGCAGCTGCTGTAAAGTGTCTGGCTTTTAGGAGGCTGCTGAGATTGTTTTAGGTTCTTACTGCATCCATCAC